AGCTGTAGCTTGAGGTATACTGAGCCTAGGGTGACGGGAGGACGCTAGTTTGTGTCCTCCCGTTACCCTTAGGAGAACTATAAGGAAAAGCCCTGACCCCATAGTTCTCCTTTAAATAAAGTGCAGAAATAAAAATGTCTCAGAACAGCCATCACTGGTGACTCTTACTTAATCTCATTCTCCATCTCGTCCTGAGCTTCCTTCTTCTGCCGTCGGTATAAATAGATCAGAACGGTTATCAAGATGGCCAGGCAGCACAGAGCGACGATGGTGCCGACCACGGCGCCGACTATGATGGCCACTCTGGACGCTGGAAGATAGAAGAGAGTTATGTGCATCAGCAGAGAACTCCGCCATTTCCCAACCACACTTGTTACATGGGAGTCTTTGGCCTTCCTCTTGGGCTCTCTTCCATCTCCTGTGCAGTCCTCCCACTCCTCCTGTGCAGTCCTCCCACTCCTCCTGTGCAGTCCTCCCACTCCTCCTGTGCAGTCCTCCCACTCCTCCTGTGCAGTCCTCCCACTCCTTCTGTGTGACCCATCTCCTGTGCAGCCCTCTTACTCCAAATGTGTGGTCCTCCTACTCCTTCTTTGTGGCCCTCTCACTCTTCCTATGGGCCATCTCACTCCACTTGCGAGGTCCTCTCACTTCTTCTTTGTGGCCCTCTAACTCCTTCTATGGAAGTCTAACTCCACCTGTTTGGCCCTCCCACTCCTCCTGTGCAGCCCTCTCAATCCTTCTGTGTGACCCATTTACAAATCCCGTGCAGCCCTCTTACTCCAAATATGTGGTCCTCCTACTCCTTTGTGGCCCTCTCACTCCTCCTGTGCAGCCCTTCTACTGTGTGGCCCTCTCACTCTTCCTATGGGCCATCTTACTCTACTTGGGCGGTCCTCTCAATGCTTATTTGTGGCCCTCTAACTCCTCCTATGGACTGTCTAACAGTCTTCTCCTGTGCGGCCCTCTCACTCGTCCTTTGCGGGCCTCTTATTTCATAATTGTGGCCCTCTTACTCCTTCTAAAAGTCTTTTATACTTCTCCTGAAGAGCCACCTGACTCCTCCTGTGCAGCCCTCTAACTCCTCCTGCGCAGCCCTCTAACTCCTTCTATGGACGTCTAACTCCACCTGTTTGGCGCTCTCACTCTTCCTTTGCAGCCCTCTCACTTTTCCTGTGTGGCCCTCTCACCGTTCCTATGGGCCACATTACTCCACCTGTGTGGCCCTGTTACTACTATTTGTGGCCCTCTCACTCCTCCTGTGCAGCCCTTCTACTATGTGGCCCTCTCCCTCTTCCTATGGGCCATCATACTCCACTTGGGTGGTCCTCTCACTTCTTCTGTGTGGCCCTCTAACTCCTTTGCGTTCCTCTTACTCCTTATAAATGTCTTTTATACCTCTCCTTAACAGCCCCCTCACTTCTCCTGTGTGGCCCTCACACTCTTCCTATGAGCCATCTAACTCTACTTGTGTGGCTCTCTCACTCCTCCTGTGTAGCCCTCCAACTCCTTCTATGGACGTCTAGCGCCACCTGTTTGGCCCTCTCACTCTGCTTATGTGTGAACGACTATTTGGTATTTTTAGCCAATATTAGGCCATCAAGTTCAACAAGACCCCCTAAAACCGCAGGGGCAGAAGACACGTGGGCCATGTACAGGGTTCCTAGAGGTCTTGTAGTCTGGGAATCGTCTCTGTAGGCTCACGTGGGATACACAGCTAACACTAGACAGGTTCTCTTTAATGGAGGGATCATTGATGTTATATGCAGCATGTCACAGCGCCTGAGCCCACCTGACGTCACCTCCATTGCGATGTTACACTCCGCCACACCGGCCGTGTTCCTGGACGTACACATGTATGTTCCGCTGTGCTCACTGGAAAGATTCGTCAGGGTTAACGTCCCCTTCACGCTGTCTACAAGATAAAAATGTTCAGAGACATCCCAATCCATCATCACTATGGCAACACTGAGGAGTGAGGACTTCCAGGGACTGGCTCAGGTTTGGAGGTCTTCATCCCTGGAATTCTTCCTCCCATGTCACACAATTCACCCGTCTCCTCTCACTATACAATGTCACAATCATCATAGATACAGAGATCCAGAACCGGGGAGACCCTTCAGAGTAAAGTCCATTCTTAGAAGCAAGGACCCAATCATTTGCTGAGGACATTTTGGGGGGATTGTTCCCCTGGCCTAGCCGACAGCATCACAATGTCACTGAAGATCTGTCAGCTGCACATCTATGCTAAGAACCTCCTGCCCCACCTATAGGAGGTCCATATTGTGTGCACCGGGGGTGGGCAAACCCAAAGGGGTGGACATCTACTTTTAAAATACAGAAGGAACTAAAGATCCCTGGGGGCGGGGTCAGATTTTTAAGCGGAGTGTGCCCCCCACCCCCCAAGTAGTACCTTCCTTACACTTTCAATGGGGAGTCCCAGTAAGATTCCTTCCTTCACTGGTGGCCAGTGAACCCCCCATTATAGCACCTTCATTGTACTGCTCCCCCATGCTGCTCTTCATTATAGTATTAGTAAGTACACCCAGTGCCACCATGTTATCCCAGTGCTACCATTATGTCCCCCCAAATGCTACCATGTTATCCCAGTGCCACCATTATGTCCCCCCAAATGCCACCATGTTATCCCAGTGCTACCATTATGTCCCCCCAAATGCCACCATGTTATCCCAGTGCCACCATTATGTCCCCCCAAATGCCACCATGTTATCCCAGTGCCACCATTATGTCCCCCCAAATGCCACCATGTAATCCCAGTGCCACCATTATGTCCCCCCAAATGCCACCATGTTATCCCAGTGCCACCATTATGTCTCCAGGTGCCACCATGGTATCCCAGTGTAACCATTATGTCCCCAAAAATGCCACCATGTTATTCCAGTGGAACCATTATGTCCCCCAGGTGCCACCATGTTATCCCAGTGCTACCATTATGTCCCCCCAAATGCCACCATGTTATCCCAGTGCCACCATTATGTCCCCCCAGTGCCACCACCATGAAAATAGCCATCATAATGGAAAATCACACATGCGTTATGGCTCGGTGAACGCAGCCTAGTGTCTTTTCTATTGTTACCATGGGCCGGCGGGAAAAACACCATGTTGATCTTGGCTTTCTTTATCCAGGCATAGGTAGGAGTCGGCTGCCCGGAGGATGACCTGCAGCTGAGGGTGACGTTGGCTCCGACGTACGGACTTCCATACAATTGACAGGTGGGTTTAGAAGGAGGAACTGGAAAAACAGACAGCAAAGTGGATTAGAGATCACAGACTCTGACCAAAGGGTTTGAACAATTGTAAGGCTCAG